TGTTGGAATGACAGATAATTGTATAATCATTTTTGAAATTTCTAAGATTGTTAATATTCATTATCTTAATGATTTAGTTTTTTGGTTTTCCTGTACATGTTTTGTGGAAATTACCCCTCTTCTTAAGCATAATTTTGTGTTACTGTTAATTATTTGAGCCGTTTCAAAGACTTTGAGTTTTTACTTTTTTGCAAGTATTCAATTCCCATGTAATTGTCTAAAATAAATTAATGGAGCATTTTTGTTTGTTTTTTTATGTTGTCTATTTTCTTCTCAATAACATTATAAAAAACAATTTGATCGATTATGAAATTATGACTATTTTTAGTTTGCTAAAACTTGGAATACAATACATTTACCTATATTTTGGGCTTTTATAATGTTCAATCTTGAAAGTCAAAGAAACAATATTGAATTTAATACTTGAGAATAGCATACATGCATTTATAAACACAATCTACTATGTCTTGCCCAAAATACCCTTAGAGTCTTCAGGGAATATTTTGCTTCTTTTACATCAGTAAAAAATGAAACTATGTTGTTATCTATATACAAATACCATTGCATCCTACTATGTGACAAAATTGCCCCTGTCCACCCATATACGACTTGAAAGACTTAGCTTATGAAAGTCTGCTGCAAGGAAGGTATATGTCATATAACTTTGAATTGGAATTAGAGATTCCATTCCATGGTTGCCAAAAGGATAAAATTCAATTTAAGTTTTCTTTTTATTGATGAAATTACCAAAATTCCCTTCCAAATACATTTTGCTAACAAAATTATATGTTTCAAGTATCTTTGTCATCGAATTTGAAAGAGGTATAGAAGGAACAGTATAAAAGAAAACATTAGCCAATAAAAAAATCAGAAAAAAACCTACGATGGGGTCAAACCAACCCCAATAGGAAGTACAAAACAAAGATCGTAGGAACATAATGTCGATGGAAAACCAATAATAAAAAATGAAGAGTGCAAACCAACTAAGCAGATACAGTGACATGTACACATACACATATAGAATGATATAGGAATAAAAATTAAAGACAAAACAAATACATGTATTTTCCGAATGAAAGTGATTGAAAGGTTAAAGTATTTTTCTTTTTTTCTCTGCACGGGATTCGTGAGATAAACGAATGTGTAAATGGCATACCACGCATGTAATATACATATATACCCTTAAACTGGATTGCAATCTGCAGAGGATCTTTAAGATAAACAATTGTAGTTCATGATATTAAACAAATATCATGGAATTCTATTAAACAAATATCGTGAAGTTGATAATCAATTCCAAATATAATGCATTTTAAATGTATTGATAATATGGTTAGTCTATAAATGCATTTAAATCTTACTATATTACAACCTTTTTAAGCGGAAATATGAAAAATCAATTGGATTTTCAAAAACTGATTCAATCGATGGGAGGGCAATGAATACATGACAATTTAAGAAAACCAAGGGTAAAGAAGTAAATTAACATTGAATGGAAAACGAAATATAAGAGTGACATGTCATCAAATATAGTATCTTTTATTAAGATAGTAGATTTCAATGTCAGGTCTCCTGAAGGTCTCTTTTTATGCAAATAAGTAATTGTCAAATATATACATATTATTACTGTAAATACCAAAATAATACGAACTATGATTAACTGAATTACCTTTGCTTTCTGACAAATGGGTTCCATAGATGCATTATCCGGTTCTCATGTTGGGCAACATATATAAAGTCATCAAGCATCTGAACCAAAAAAATAAAAGAAATAGCAATATATTTTTACATATTTTCATTTCTTCCTATGAATAGTCTACCCAATAAAATACTCTGAATACACTTTTGAAACTGCATCGTTCTACTTAAATATTTAAAAAAAAGTAGAATGCTATAATTATGAGAAAAAGAGAATATACCCTTCAGTATGTTCGGATGTCTTACATGCGATGCGTTCCAAATCACCTCCAAAAACTGTTGTTCTTCATGCAGAGCTACTGCTACAGTCCGTATACACTTCATTGCAAAAGGCTAAAACACAAAAAATAAATCATCATATCTACAACAATGATCAATACTCTGTTACAAAACTTGGTAAATTGATTTAGAATTTAGTTAAATATTTGACCCTTATCCTACAAAATTACTTCTAAGAGTATGATTTCACTCCAAAATTGATCTGTGGTCTCTGATTTATCTATCATCTTCTTCTAAAAGCACCCTGCAAATTTCTTCTTTATTCATTGCATGAACTTTTGTATTTCCCCCCTTTTCTAGCATATGTTATAACCCCTTTAACCTCCAAGAGAAAATTACTTGCAGATACAAAACTATAAAAAGTTGCTGAAGCTTGGTTTTCCAAAAATGCCCTTTCGCTTCTGTCCATGTCTGGTTTCTGAAAACCACGTTTGGTTTCTCTTGACCCGTCACCAGACTTGTTAAAAGGAAATTACTTTAGTTCTTCCAAGGATGGTTTGGAGTACCACTTCTTATATAACATAGTATTGATTAAAAAAAAGCTCACCTGTTAATTAATTTCATAGCCTGATCAAAACTAAAAAAACGACAATCATGCCATAAAAACTCAAAAAGTATTTACCTTAGGATGGCAAACATTATCATATTTTGATGCTAGAGATAGTGCTTTAACCCTGCAAGTGAAGTTAGAAGATAAATTAGCAAACAAGGCATAATATTTATATTAGAAATCAGCCCTAAAGCCATTTATTTAGTACTAACAAATTTACCAAGAACCAAAATTAGGTTATCAAATTAATAAACAACAATTTATGGTAAAAGTATTTCTAGTAAAAGTTTTTGTTTTATTAAATTTCTAATATCGAAGACTCTACCAACCCAATTAACAAAACATGAAGAATGATAATCGAAGGGAGAAAGCTTGAGATATGGCAGCTCTAAAAACATGTGTTTTGTCATTTTCTCTTGTTGCTAGTATGAATTAGGGGTTGATCAGTATTGTTATTTGGAGAGGGAAACATGGAAAACAAAGAAAATCACACAACTTGAATACAGGTAAAGTAAACCATAAACATACCATTAGTAGTAACGGTAACAGGAACAGAGCATTAACAATTTTACATCCCTTTTATCAAGAAATAGCAATTCTGCAAAACATCATCCCCTTTGTATAAAGTTATCCAACAAAAAATTGAAGAAAAAAAGAAAAAACATCAACACATCAAATGAATTGATTTTGTATGTTTTTAAGTATGTCTGTAATCTGAACAAAATCAAAAACCCACCAATCGCTTTACCTAATGCCATTAATATAGTAGAGATAGCAGATTTTGTTTCTATTTTCCGATGCGGGAAGGCTTCTCCAAAATCCGTTGATCTCTCCTCCGAATTCTTAAGCCCGTCTGTGACCTCATCGCCACCCGCTATCAGCAGCTCCCCATCTTTGTCTTCTCTGTTTCTGTTCACGTGTAACACGTGTAACAAATGTACTTGTGGATATGCAAGTGAGACCATATTTCTAGATATTAAATACATATGCAGATCCAATCATTGAAATTCCAGTTAGTAATAAAACCTGACACCAATAAATACATATACACATTGAGAAGCAGAAACTTACCGAAAGGATTGAACTCTGTGATTGAATATCCGATAACTCAATTATCGATGATGCAAAACCTTGGAAACACGATGCTGTAAAGGAACGTTTGCCCTGTTTTGTTTCAAGTATATATTGAGCAGAATATGATTAAATTGACATAATAATTTCAATTAAATGTAATCGATATGATTGATATCATACCTTATATACGAAATCGGATTCCATAATAACATGCTATTAATCGGGTATGTAATGAATTTGAGTTAATGTGTACAACTGTTATTTCCGATAATCACCGATAAAAATTGAAACAAAACAGGGCGTTATATGGATTTCAATATCGAATTCTATGTGAAACAAAGAAGGGGTAGAATCGGTATTTAACTTTGACAGAAATTTGATGTTTTGAAGGGACACGTGGACATATGGTTTTGTTTATTAGATATATATATATATATATATATATATATATATATATATATATATATATATATATATATATATATATATATATATATATATATATATATATATATATATTGGTGGGTTGACCCGCGAACCCAAACAAGTAACTCAACACAACCCATGAAATGAACAGGTTGGCGGGTCAAAAATCTCAACCCAAACCCGTTTATTTTCGGATTGGATCAGTATCGTATTATAAGTTGGATCGAGAGTTACGACCGCTACACCAAACCATCAATATTTCCATTTTCTCCTTTCGAGTTTTGTATGGAAAAACGATATATAGGAAAAATACATAGTTTCCTCTCCCTCTTTGTATCACAATCAATCAATCAATCAATCATAGTTCTGCTATCACTAGTTTTCCATTTATATCGTGAAATAGACTTCATAAAATTACTTTTTTTCCCAATAAGTTGACATTTATGGGATCATTTTTTATGATAAAAATCGTTATGAGGTTTTCAAAGATTATTTTTACTGATACCTGTCCATTATAAATTTATAGTTGATTATATTAACAATTGAACACCATGTGAATCAATAACCCAATTTAATACTCGGTCCTGACAAAATGTGCATAAGAAACCGGTCCAAACCGGATCCTTTGGTTGCCCCATCTTTATCAGTACTCAGTAGACGCTCTATGTTGACTAAAAACTGGTCAATGTCAAACTCAATCCCTTTATACAAAGCAACGTACAAATCTATAAGCATAACAAACAAGCAAGTAATGAATAATCTTTATCTTCACTTCACTCGATGTTCTTCAATCCATGCAATGCATTCCAAATCTACCAACTACAAACAAGATCTCAAAATCACATAATCTCATAAGTTTTTTTAATGTTATAATCCAAACTCAACTACAATTAAATAACCCAGATCACAATATTATAAAACTTCCTCAAGCATTTCCCTAACTGTTCATGCATTGTCCATTATTCTCTCTAAAATGGGACTAGATACTATAAAACCCTACTCCACCACCGTCCTCCGCTTCTCATTCCTCATCACCACCTTCCTCTTCTTCTCCTCCGCCACATCCACCACCGCTCTCAAAATCGCCCGTCCACTCAATAAACTAACTCGCCCAGTCGTCATCCTCATTTCCGTAGACGGGTTCCGATTTGGGTACCAGTTTAAAACCCCAACACCCAACATCCATCGACTAATCAAAAAAGGAACCGAAGCTGAAACCGGATTGATTCCAGTTTACCCAACCTTAACCTTCCCAAATCACTACTCAATCGCCACCGGATTATACCCAGCTTATCATGGAATCATATTAAACAGATTCACTGATCCAACTACAGGCGATAACTTCACAACGAGAAGTCGTGAACCCAAATGGTGGTTGGGCGAACCCATATGGGAGACCATCGCGAACCAAGGGCTCAAAGCGGCGACATATTTCTGGCCTGGGTCCGATGTAAAAAAGGGTTCTTGGGATTGTCCTGTGAATTTCTGTCCACTCTATAACGCTTCAGTTCCGTTTGAAGAACGCGTCGATACTTTTCTCCATTATTTCGATTTGCCAAATGAAGAAATTCCTGTTTTCATGGCGTTATATTTGGAGGATCCTGATTCTCAAGGTCATCTAGTTGGCCCTGATGATCCTCAAATTACAGAAGCTGTTAGTCACATCGATGGGTTGATTGGTAGATTGATTAACGGATTGGAAAAACGTGGGATCTTCGAAGATGTTACTATAATTATGGTTGGCGACCATGGAATGGTAGGTACTTGTGATCAAAAGTTGATATTTTTAGACGATTTAGCTTCTTGGGTCAAGATTCCGGAAGAATGGGTAAAATTTTATTCTCCTGTGTTATCTATTCGTCCACCTTCTAATCAATCCCCTTCTGAAATTGTCGCCAAAATGAACCAAGGATTGAGTTCAGGGAAGGTTAAAAATGGCGATATATTGAAAGTTTATCTCAAAGAAGACCTTCCTGCAAGGCTGCACTATTGGGAAAGTGATAGGATTACTCCAATCATCGGGTTAGTTGATGAAGGGTTTAAGGTTGAGCAAAAGGACTCGAAGAGTAAGGAATGTGGAGGTGAACATGGATATGATAATGCATTTTTTTCGATGAGATCGATTTTTATTGGTCATGGTCCTCGATTTGCTAGAGGTAGAAAGGTACCATCTTTTGAGAATGTTCAAATCTACAACTTAATCACTTCGATCCTTAACATAAATGGAGCTTCCAACAATGGGTCGTCGTCTTTTGCAAAGAGTGTGCTTTTGCCTCATCATTGAGAGTTTTGGGAGTTACGTTTATTTGCTGATATATGTTCATGTTTTTAGACAATGTTGTTTAACTGTGGTAGATTTAGGTTGATAACGGTGTTTATGGCTTAAGATGTATTAGGTTGAATGTAAGGGCATCCACAATGCATTGAACTCTATCGAGTTCAATGGAGTGCCTCATCATCATTCACTATTTCATACAACTCTATTCATTTTTATCCGATAAGACATTAAACTCTACAAGTTCAATGAAACATATTAAAAAATATTTATTTTAAGATTTAAAGACTTTCCTTTTTCCCATTGAAGAGTTCAATGGCCATTGAACTCCAAATCCATTGAATGCCAAGGTGGCATTTCACAATGGTGGAGTTGTATCCATTGAATGCCAATGTGGCATTTCACAATGGTGGAGTTGTATCAATTGAATTACAAGTAGGCATGACAACTCATTCAACTTTTCCATTAAACTCCCCATTGTGGATGCTCTAAGTTGTGAGTGTTTGATTCTTGTTTACACCTAATTGAAAAAATGGTACACGATGAGTTTTATAAACAATTGTATCATTTCATCTTGTTGTTAGTGGTGTATTGGTCAGATATTTGTATCACCCATGTGAATTGTTTGTGTTAAACAAGCAATCGAATAAAAGCAACAAAATGACACACATAATTAATATGGTATGGTTGATGTGACCTATGTTCACGGACATGAAAATAGATCACTTAGGCTAAGGGGAGTGGTAACACTCTTAACACCTTGCCGCATTAGCTTTTTGGTTGCCACCTCATTTTTTTCCATTTAACACCTAATGTTAGCATTTGGTAAGGAGTGGTAACACTCCTAACACTTTATTTTTTTTCTAATTTAATTTAATTACTTTATTTTAATAAACAAACATTTTTTATGCATGAATATTAAACAAAATTTATTATTTTAAACCACAAACATTTAATATAATATAAATTATATTTTTTAAAACACACTTCATAACTAATCCAATTGCTTCATCCAAATCTCTTTCTGAGAAAACTACTTTGGCTCCAACTATCTTATTCAACAAAGACTGTAAAAACTTAATTAAAAATATCACACAACCATACCCTATTTATACTAAACTAATTAGAATCTTAAACTAACTCAAAACCTTAAATTAGGAAAGTTTTCCCAAAATACCCCTGAAACCAAAACTGTCCCCGTTTCTGAATTAACCCAACAAGTGATTAGCCACAAGTACTCAGCCACAACTCTTAACCTCATTGCCCACTTCATAGGATGTGATTGGGCATGTACTCGGCCACAAGTAGCCTCTCATCATCTTCACAGCAGCAACCAAGGAGATTAGCCAGCCTAAAATTATGCAGCTTCCCGACAAATTTAGTTTCTTCCTGTAAAGCATTTGTTAAGTTATTGGTCAAAATACCCAGCTTGCAAACTGACATGAAAAGCACTTGTTAAGTTATAGAAGTTTAAACAATTTAAAACTTAACTGCAACTTTTAAAGCATCAACAAGGATTTTCTTCTTTGGAACTCTATTGATGTCAATCTTGATGTCTGTAAGTGTCAACATCTTGAAGTTCATTTGGCCTCTTACCATGTCAGGAGCATCACAAGTGTCTATTAATCAAATCAAAATAGAGGTAATTAAGACATGAGCATCTATAGCAAATTACATGTTTCTTTGAATCCATATAACAAAAGCCACAAGACATGATCACATGGAGCATCTCCAATTTCTAATCTTAGTATTTTGTTACAACCAATTTCAGACATTTTGAATAGATTTGATTTGAATTACACAGTGGTATTCTCAGTGACATTTTGAAATGATCGAACACCTGGTGTGCAGAGGAAAATAACAGCAGATAGCCATAGCCATAGAAGCAAATCTGAAGCTTAATGATCTGAACAGGTTTTTTAAAACTTCGGTATTGGAGCTGTATATAGCCATGGAAGCAATCAAGACTCACAAAACTAGTTATAGCCATGGAAGCAATCAAGACTCACAAATGAACTGGATTTGTTACCTGTATTGCGTAGATGCACAGATTCATAGATGGACCAAACACACACATCAGATACCGTATTTAAAGATGAAGATGAAACAAAAGTCAGGAGTGAAGATGAAAATCGACAAATTAACATAAAAATTAACCGATTTAACTCATAGATTCAACAATCGGACAAAATCGGACCAATTTTGTTTCTCTCCTTCTCTTTCTTCTCGCCAACACAGTGACGAGTCTCCGATGGCGAGCCCCCTAGCGAGCGCTAGGGGGCGGTGTTCCAGGTTGCTTAACGAGTTTGGCGAGGGTATTTGGCGAGCCCACTCCGCTTAGCCTTATAATATTCAATTGTTTTAAGTGATACATTGAAACCCTAGTTACGAATATTTATATTTATAAATGTTGATGAATAATTATATCTAAAAACTCTAACAAATGTTGATGAATATTTATATCTGAAAACCCAAACAAATGTTAGGCCAAATTTATGTACAAGTAAATCTGAAATAACTAAACAAGGGCATACCATTTAGCAATTGCTGGGCCTAACAATTGTCGTGTATGGATTCAAGCCTAATGACACCCAACTTAGTCTAAACACTCATCCTTTCGATTTTTTCACTCAGGTTTCTTCACTTCAGTCTGGATTGGATCATATATCCATTCAGACTGCCACATTCCAAGTAACGATACAGAAAGGTACCATCTTTTGAGAATGTTCAAATCTACAACTTAATCACTTCGATCCTTAACATAAATGGTGTGTGGTTCGTTTCCATTGTGTAATCAACGAAGGCAATGAGGTCGCTTTGTGCTGCGAGTCTAGCATTTTCTCATTCATCTAAATGAACGAATGTAGCAAGTCTACATAATGTCTCGATATACTAGAAATTTTAGATTCCTATTTTTTATAGTTTTACTTTGGTTATTTAGGTGCATGTTAGATTTAATTGTTTGTGTCTAGGTTTTTAGAGTTTGGTTGTCACAGGGTTAAATTTATAACCCATTCCGCACTTGATTGTTTGTTTGTTAACGGGTTGAATAAGCCGACAATAGGAGTAAGTACCTTCAAATAAGGTCGGTGTTAAGTATGCATGTAGATTGTTACATGATTAGAGCTTTATGTATTCCTCAATCCCCGTGGGGAGTCCTAGGTTCCCCCCTTAAAGCTCATGACTAACCTTTATAGATTTATGTGCCAATTGGGTTTCACCATTTTATGGCTTATCAGGGAAGCAATACTTGATTTCGAGTATGGTCCCATTAGTAGTTAAGCTTCCGACTAACGTCAAGATTCTATCACAAGCCGTGACTCAACCATAGACTACAACAGCAGAGGCACACCAATCCATTAAAGCTAATATCTTACCCTTTAACCCGCTAGAGTGATCTAACCATTATCCACATCTTGATTTACCGATCAACATGATCACAACATTTTTAGGTTGTTCACACCTTCTGCCACTTAGTTTTTTGGCATGTTATCATGGTGGGAGAGTAGACTTCTTGTCCCGTCTATGTTCATATTGCTACTTGGTATTAACCTTATCTATTTCCATGTTGTATCTTCATTTAGGCTTAATTTTATACACCAAAAAACTTTGAGATCACACTTTTATATCGAACCCTACCATTACACATCATTTTGGACACTTGTAGATAGACTCCTACAATTACGCCACTTCTTTTAAAATGTTTAATACTTCAAAATTGGTGGTAATATCTGATGTGCAATTTATATACTACCAGTTTTAAACTTATAAACCTAACCTACTTAACTAACTAATTGCACTTAGGCAGTGTACCTAGTGTAATTATATGATAGTTTAGGTAAGTCGGGTGTCGATCACATGGAATGAAATTTTAATTTAGAAAATGACCACTAATAATTAAACTAAGAACAACTTTAAATGGATGATTTTTACCGATTTTGAAAGTTCAACAACTTAATTCAAACAATTATTAATTAAACAACTATTAAAACTAAGCAAGCACATAAAACGATTTTTAATTCAAGTTTAAAAAGTACTTCCGTTTAGTTCCGAAATCCCCCTCTCCTATGGTTGATTTCTAGTGGATAAAGTATATTGATTACCAATTTATTAAATTACTAGCTATCATGATCTGATACCTAGCTATTCCAATTCATGAATTACCATGCAATGATCAAGCAAAAGTTAGACACAAAAATGATATAAGCACGAATTGGACTATGAATGATAAATATATGAATTACCTATCCTAGATCAAGACAAGCAACTCAAGCACAAATTATCGATAAATTATGCTCTCTAACACAATCAAAGTAATTACCTTTTATTTAACGAACTCTAGGATTTGTTCAATCACTATATCTAATTATTTAATGGTCATAAACAACTAGATAACAAATTCATGCAATTAGAATGATCATTGTAACATCCTGTTTGATGATGTTTCTTAATTCAGGATTTGAGGACCGTAATGCGATCATGTAAAGGCCTTGGACTTCATTGGAATGGAGTTTAGACACTATTGGAGGTGTATGATGATGATAAGTGATTTAAACCTTGGATTGTTCGATGTAAGCTAGGGGTAAAATAGGAAAAGTTGTGTTTCAGGCTTCTTGCATAAATTAAGGGTTTTAGTTCGAGATGTTTTTAGTCATAAGTATCAATATATAATCGTAGAGCTCATCGATACCTTTCCGTGGATATAAAGATCGTTGAAAACGGATTTGGAACGATGAAGTTATGGCTTTTTGAAGTTAAGCTGGAAGAAGAGAGTCTGGCAGTACGTTAGGCGTACACCAGGAGTACGCTGGGCATACTAGGCTGAGGAAGTTTTGTTTTTAAGGCGTTACGCTGGGCGTACCGCCGTAGAGTAAAAAACCTATTTTCGTGGTTTTGATCCCTATTTAAGGACTCCAACCCCTTGGTGTCCTTCCTAACATCAGCCTCCACCCTCTTGAGCCTCCAACTCGAAACCCTAGGCCCGTAGAGCAAATAATGAGCCTTTTTATGTGTTTTGGGTGCATTTTGTAAGAAAGAGAAGTCCAAGCTTGTTGATTCCTGAAGCTCCAACTTGTGGATCCATAGCCTACATTGCTTTTCTCTACTTCAGAAGGTATAAAGTTTGAAACTTGATGATTCTTTTGTTAGATCTAGCTAGTGTTGGGTTTTATGAGCTTTTTGTCCCAAAACCTTGGTCTTTGTGAGTATGGACTACTCCAGACCATTTGAGTTGTCCTTTTAGACGTTTTAGAGTGCATGGTGTCATAAAAATGCAAGCTTGATCCTTTCTTTTCATCCTTGCATGAGTTATGGAGTTTTGGTAATTTTAGAAGTTAGAGTTTTCAGATTAAGCTCTCTTTGGACATGCAGGCATAAAGTTGGAGACTTTATGGATTAGAATGTCTTTTAGGGTCAGATATGAGGATTGGGTAAAGTGTCTTAATGATTAAGACCTTAAAAGTTGAGTTTGGATTTAGACCGAGTACGTCAAGCGTAAGTCTGGCTACGCCCAATGTAGCCAACTGCGAACCCACTTTCTGCCTTTGTGCTATACGCTCAACGTAGAGCTTGTGTATGCCGTGCGTATGGTCAAAATGTTGACTGTTGATTTCGTTGACCATGTGTGACTTTTAGCCAAATTGTGAGGGTTTTGGGTCTTGGAAGGGGCAAAATGGTCTTTTGCTCAAATTGTGGATTAGACTTGGCTAGGGACTAGTTGAGTATAGAAAATTACCTTAATTGTTAATTAGGGTTAATTAGTGCATTAAATAGGCGGGGTCTAGTTCCGGCAGTTCGGATGTGAGTTCTACTAGTCATCTATGCATGGTGAGTTTCCTCCTTATACTTGTGGGTCGAAGGCAACAATGTCGGCTCACTGGATTATGTTGTAGGATAGTAGTGCGTCTTCTCACTATACTTGCCTGTGTAGTAGTATATATATGTGCCGACCATGTGGGTCTATTTGCTATTACTGTGATATATATTTGATGTGCGTGCTGAGACTTCAAGTAGTTTACAGGGTTGCTAATAACCCACATGGCGTGCTGTTTGTCCACTGAGACTTTGGGTAGTCTCCAGAGTTATTGATAACCTATAGGGCGTGTTGTTTGCCCACTGAGACTTCGGGTAGTCTCCAACGTTGCTGATAACCCATAGTTGTTTATTCATGATGTGTTGTATGTGGAAATTTGAGGAACTTACTAAGATTTGTGCTTATAGTTGTGGATTATATATTTTGCAGGTACTTATCAGGCGGCGAAGGCATGACTGTACACACACATCAGTAATTTTTATGATTCGAGATTCCGCATTGTCTTCTTATTAAATCTGATTTTGGAATAATGGTTTATGAACAAATGGTTGTAACTTTACTAAAAATGGATGTTATATTATTTTAAAAGTAAAAAATTTAGCCCTGGTTTTTAGGACGTTACAATCATCTACTACATAAAACTTGTATAATAAGCAATATAAGCTAGAACTTCAACATGATAGGATTGTGATTATCAAACACTAGTAAAATCAACATAAAATATCATGAACTCTAGATCAACACATACGATACGAGTTAATCTTCACCAAATAGAAGTATAGGGTGTAATACGCTTCAGGAAGAGGGGCAAGTTGGGGCCCCGGTATATTGGGCCATTTCGGGTGATTGCCAGGTTTGGCAAGGTAGCTTAAAGGCTGAATTTGCTTGAGGAGCTTAATCAGACTCACAACACCTTCCATGTTTCGCAGCTGCAGAAGTGTGTGGCTGATGATTCAGCGGTTGTTCCTTTGGATGATATTTAGGTTGATAATCTCCTGAATTACATTGAGAATCTAGTGGCGATTTTAGATCGGAAGACGAAGGCCTTGCTTAAAAAGGTGGTATCTTTGGTCAAGGTCTAGTGCAACATCGAAAGGGTTCTGAGTGGACCTGGGAATCCAAGGCAGAGATGAGGGAGCATTACCCAGAGTTGTTTGCAGTAGCGGACTTCGAGGACGAAGTCTAATTCAAGTGGGGGAGAATTGTAACATTCGGATTCTTGGAGGTATTATAATTTATTATATTTTTAAATTTTGGGTATTTCCAGGTCATGGTGAAGGAATCCCGTGACATGGAAATGGTTGTTGTATCGCGAGTTTTAAATGGCCACCACAACGTGACAACCTATGTCCACGGCGTGGCAACTGTTTGGTGAGAAACCCTAATTTCTAGAGTTTACGCCATATTTAAGGGAATGTGAGGGCTAAGATTGCTCACCCTCAGCCTCCATCATACTATCTCAGCCTCCAAGCAAACCCCAACCTCCATTTTTGCTCTCTAATCCTTTTGTGTTGATTTTTGGGGATTTAATAAGAATGAGGTGAGTTCTAAGCCTGGATTTAGCAAGCAACCCTTCTTACCATCTTCGTGTGCGTCTTTTGGACTCTTGTAAGTCCCCAAGTTCTAAGCTTTTTCATTTAAAGTGCATAGATCTAGGTTTCTATGCCTTAATATTCATGTCCTTGATTATTGGGTGGTGAGATCTCATAAAGTTTGCAACTTTATGAATCTCTAGGTCATTTTGGACCTTGGATGCTTTGGATATGGAATAACATTGAGTTTTACCATCATTCATGGAAGATTTGGCCAAAAGCTCTCATTTGACCTAATAGAGTCCAATACATGCATTAGACATGCATGTATAGAGAGTAAGGATTTTTTATGTTGTTATTTGATGCTATAAACGTTCTGGAAATGGGGATCTAGTTGTCTTCAAGAGAAAGTTCTTAATGGGTTAAGCCAAGCTTTGTTCTTGCCCTGTT